TACCAGGGATCATGGGCAAGTCATTTACCCTTCCCCAGATAACTCTCGAAAGGAGAGGTTTTATGTACCTAATTTTTTTTTAGTAATTATTTCAATATAATTGGCATCCTTTGTAAAATACTATTTTATTCATTTAACCAGCCTCCCAAAGAGACAAAAAAACTCTTGCTCTTTAAGATAATACTTTACTTATGAATTTCCACACCTTCCTCACACAAATTCATTTTAAAGATGAAATAAAGTTTTAAAAAACAAAGATGGATCTTGTTCTCTCTTCCAGCACCCAGAAGATAAAGAATAGTAGGCCTTTAATCCTCCCCCCCCCCTTTTTGAGGTAATTGGGGTTAAGTGACTTGCCTGGGGTCACACAGCTAGAAAGTATCATGTGTCTGAGGCCGCATTTGAACTCAGGTCCTCCTGACTCCAGGGCCAGTGCTCTATCCACTGCGCCACCTAGCTGCCCCTGAAAAGAACAGTAGGAAGAGTTCCTACAGGGCATAGATTGTATACTACTTTTCACACACAGAAGGCATTTAATGTCATTGAATAGACTAAAAGCAAACACAGGAAAATTTAAATTTAGCTTTCTGACATAACTTTTTCTTGACTAAATACCTAAATTTAAGGCATATCAGTAGGAAGACACCACACTGGGAGGACAAATTAAACTAGTCAATATTGGATTATTCCAATCCATTAGTAATCTATGGCCTCACTCCCCGCCCCCACTCCCCCCCCCAAATCAGCTTCTCGGATGATTCCCCGAGTATCTTCTAGGAGTTTATTCTGCTATATACAGGAATGTTTTCTCCACACAACCCCTTAGCAAAGAGAAAGTTAATATTCTTATCATTAGTTTATTTACGTGACTACACTAGAACTACAGCACCTAACCTAGAATGATTTGCAACATAGTCAAAGAAAATAAAGTCAAATGCTTTTCAAGGATGGTGTTCATTAATTTCAGCAAGTCTATATTATATTCCTTAACAACAAGTAATGAAAAGCACCACCGTATCTACCTCTCTGCATTAGAAGCCAAAAACTTTCAACTATTTTTACTCTTCTTCAAGGGAGGTGTGTCCTTACCAACTATACACAATACCAGAGACCCCAAAACACCAGAAATGGAAATTTTCCTTTATGGACAACTCCCAGTGGTTAGCATTTCCAAAACATATGGTAGCTTGTCAGCTATTCCCACCTTCTCTCCAACTCCACTCTGGAAACTACAGAAAATCCTTGTTTTTCTAACTGTAATCTCTAGTTTCCATACTTCAGGACAGATAATACATGAGCAACTCAAATCCCTACCCTATTCTAGTCTTGTGCTGAGTGCCTTGGGATTCCTCACCTCTTGGAGAAGAAATATCAAGTAAAAAGTAGGACACAATATGTTTTCTGATATTGGCTGTCTGTTTAGAAAAGATTTAGGTGTCTTTGCATTCAAATGGGGAAATATTTGCAATTCATTTACCAGTTCCATTTCAGCTTTAAATTCATAAGTTTTCTAGCCCATTAAAAAAAATCAGCTTGTAATCTTATTCTGAATGCATTGACATTAGTCAGTTTGCCTAATATCTTGATTTAAGTGTACCTCCAAAACTGGGAAAGCCTTTTTCTGCGGATTGTGTAGTCTGTAAGGGGAGATGTAGCTAGATTTCCCCCTCCTATGGTATTATTTAATATACATTAAAATTCATGCAAACACGCCAAGCTGTGTGGTACATTGTTGTTAATATTCTTTACATTCTTAACAAAATCCTTATTCCTCAACACATTATCTTCCATAGGAGTTTCTTAGTTTTGATTAGAATTAAATTGTTTAATGCAGCTCCAAATTGACAGGTGATATGGTATAGTGGGAAGGACCCTGGACTTGGGAATCAAGTTCAAATTTTGGCTGTTACATGAGTTGTGTGACCACAGGCAAGTAATCTAACCTCTCTGGGAGCTAAACATTTGCATCACTGCACAAAGAGTGAATTTTACTAGCTGTGTGACCCTGGGCAAGTCACTTAACCCCACTGCCTAGCCAAAAAAAAAAAAGTGAACTTTAAAAAAATATTAATCTATATACAACTGAAATGTTATACTTTAAGGTCTTACCATGGAACAATGCATGTCACAAAGCAAATACTTTCTTTTAAGAGTTAGGGGGTTTTAATTTTAAAGATTGGCATTGAGAGCAAAAAGCAAAAAATGGTTGCTTATTTTTATCTTTCTTATTTTAGGCATAGGTTACAAAGCATCCCTATTCTTTATGAGATATATTAATAGTTTAAGGAAGGGTTTAAACTGTTAAGTCAAGCATTACCACTGACATAAATCTGGCACATTTATATGCAAAACTGAAAGAATTAAAATACTCCTTTTTATAACCACCTGTCCTGTCATTTGGATTCTTTCTTGCATTATTGTGCAGGCCCTAATCTTAGAAGTAAAGAACAAGTAAACATGAATAGTTTGCAAGTGAGAGTCTTAAGCAAAAAAGTCAGAGCAGTTAGAAATTGTACTTCATAAGTGCTTCTTCACCTCTGCATACTTTGTACACTATTCTTCCCTTACAGCAACTGAATAATCAGTTGGTACAATAATAATGAAACAAACATTTGTTATGTCTCCCTCTCTTTGTTTGGGCTCTTAATAATCCTTCCCTCCCTTCCCTAAATGCTTCACAGTACAGAATTACTTTAAATAAGGCTCAATGTTCTTGATGAAATAATCTTGAGGGTTTTTTTGGGGGGGGGGTGGAGAGGATTTTTTAAAAAAGTAGTGTAGTACACTGGAAAGAGGTTTCAAATTCCAATTCTTTTACTAGCTGTGTGACCAGTTTCCTAATCTGTAAAATGGGAATATATGCATTACTTACCCGAATTGGTTAAGAGAAAGGAACAAGAAAATGTATGCAAAACCACAATGTAAATCAATGTATAAGTGGTAAGCTATTATAGTTTAAATAAAAAAATCCTTTAGACGGTAAAAGTAAAATTTCTAGACCAATTTTACTGCAAGGGCATCCATTCCTCCTGTTTTGTAGAAAGGGAAGAAAAGTTCTTTGTGTTTTAAAGTTTGGTCACCTTCTGTATATGCATTGCTAATTATCTCTTAAGTGGTGGTCTAGGTTCCTCAGCTTTGTGAAAGGACTAGGTATACAGTACCTGACTGAATCTCAAAATGATTCCCTCCCCTCCATGAAATGCAAAATCAGACTTATTGGATTTTCTAGTTGTAAAATGGAGGTTTCCAGAATAAAATGTTACAGTTCATGTAAAGACAATGAAATCTTGACCATGTAGCAAAGAGAAGTTGATAGAACAAAAAAGGAGCTTTAAAAATTTGTTCTATCTAAAGTGGTATGAAAATATTAGAAAAAATCCAGGAATTATGTAAGTCTTATGCTTTTCCTGGGTAATCCTAAAACAACAAAACCAGCAGTAGCTGGTTTTAGTCTACTCTATCCATATATTCTAGGCATATATGTTCTGTATTCTGGCATGTACTAAAGAACATTTGTCAAACTATTATAAAATAACTTTACAGCAGTCACCCAATAACAATTTCCATATTCAAAGTTGTTTTTTCTAAAATAAACATTTAAAAATTTTGAAATCACCTTTTCTTTTGCTTTTAAAAATAACGCAGCAATTCCTCTCAATATTACCAATTCAATTTTACTGTAGGAGAACTTTTCAACCACAAAAACTTTTAGTGGGTGCTTGGCAAATTAAGTACACTTTTTATTTAGTTTGGGGATTTTAAAGAATATTAGCTTAAGAAAGGTGTAAACAAGGGTAGATAATAACTTTCTCACAACTGTGCAAAAACACTATCATTCAAAAATGTAATTAAACGGTCTTAAAAATCAGTTCACCTCACTCTAAAAAAAATCTCCCCAAATGGCAGTAAAAGGAATAGCCAAATTTTGGTATCAGTAAAGAAAGGTATAGCATCACTGCTGAAATAAATAGGTATGGTACAAAAGGATTGAAGTGTTTTTTTTTTTTAAAGGGAAGAACCCATACAAGAAAATTTACATTTGGTAATTATGTGTCATGCTACTTCAAACTGCCAATGACAAGATGAAAACAGCAAGGAGAATACATTCAAGTTAATGGAAACAAGTCTTTATTAAGTAACTTTTAATATCAGAAAAATAAAACTCTTATAATTCTCTTTACAGCAAATATATAATATCAGTGCTTTGGCCATCTTCAGTTAAAGGCCCTTTATCATAAAATATATGGTTTTTAAACTTTACTCAAATTGAATTTATAATCCCTATGACCTCCCTACATATACATAACAAAAAAGTGTAGTAAAATTAGCAAATACTAAACTATATTGATAGTTTTATCATTCTTAGTTTGTAGTTTATAGAAATGGTACACGCACCTAATATATGTCGATTCCTTGGCTTATTAGTTGCAGTGTACGATGCAATAAAATACAAAATACATGCTTGGTGAACATTCGTTCATATCTACAAGACGGCAGCTAAAGATTAGGCTTCAATACTGACATTTAACTATCCTACAAGCAATTAGCATTAAAGGTATGCATTACATCATAATATGCCATCAAGGCAACTTTTATACTGAAAAAAATCAAAATAAAAACCGTTATTTGTAAACTTTTATACGAAATGTAACTCTTCAAGTGGAAATAAAAAATAAAATTTGTTTATTTACTAGTTCAATACACATAGGATTTCATTTTTTTTTATACTGAGAAAAAAAGCTCTTTTGCGCCTTGGGAAAATAATGCTTCAAAAATAATTAGTAGAAAAATCCGTTGGGATACCGTTTTGTCCTTTTTGATGCCAACACAGATTTGGAGTTGTACTGAGGATGATGAAGTTAAAGACATCCACAGGTTGAAATGTAAAAGCTCATTTTAAATAAATCTTTCCTTATGATTGGAAATAGGTTTGAAATGAAGTAAACTGATTGCAGGTAATTGTCACAGCTGCTTTTTGTGTATCACGCTTAGGGCACTGTTATCCCTCCCACCCACCCCCCCTTTCGATTACTAAAAATAAAATATATTTATAATGTGCAAGACAAATATGGATCAAACATAAAAATGTTTCACATTTAGATCTATATACTCTCTAAAAGTAATTAATAATAGCTTGATCGGACTAATGAATGGAATGTTAGCATCCTCACTATTAGCCAAAATATGTGCACCCCAAAGCTCTTAGTGAAATGAGAAAAATCCAAACAGATTTTTCCACATTACATTAAGAGAGACAATGGGTAGGAATTCACAATTGAGACAAATCCATTCCTGATCCTTTGATCACACCATCCACAAGAACTCTGGGCGAGATGAAGGTCAATGCAGCAGTTTTCTTCCCAAATTATTAACAGTGATCTATTTAACTGCCACCAGCCCTATCCATTCCAATAAGTCAAAACTATGCATTAAAAAGTTACTTGCAATCCTGCAGAATTAGGCATAAGTTGTTGTAAAATAAAAAACCTGTTTTTCAAAACTGGCAGTGTAAAGAAGGCAGCACTGGAAGTGTCTGATAGATCAATAATGCCAAGTACCCTCCATAAACTTTTAATATGGTTAGGCTACGGGACTTAATGCCTTCAAATATTGGAAGTCACAACTTCTCTCATAGGCCTACAAAGCCTATCATCTCTATGTTATGAAAGCCGAGTTGAACTCAACTTTTAATCAGTCTTACATGAGCTATGTCTCTGTTTACTAGAACAGTAATTAAAACCAAACTAGGAGACAGAGACCACCTAGGTTTAGTGTTACCATAGCAGCCTTTTAGAAAATACAAGTTTACTAACAACTTTAGCCTAATCCCAATAAAGCCTGATAACAGTCATAAGAATTCATTAGGAAGTTTACTGGGGGTACCATTATACCCATGCTTTTAAGAGTCCATATAGAGATATAATATTATGTATATATATATATATATATATATTTAAGAGTGAATTTGGATTGCCTGAGTAACAGCTGTCTGGCAAACTGGACATGATGGCGTTCTCTTTTCACAGATCTTGTTGGCACATTCCATGCAGAAGAGGTTGTGGCCACATGGAACTAGGGCAGCAATAACTTCATTCTCAAAGCAAATCACACAGTCGTGCTTTCGTCTTGATTCTGGAGGTGAACTAGATGTAGAACCACCATTGGAAGAGGAGTAACTGTTGGTACCATTAGAAAAAGCAGGGATATATATTGGAAGGCCAACATGGTTGCCTGTACTCGGTGGGTCACTCCTAACCCTCCGAGCAAGTGGATGTTCTATGCCTTCAGGAAATGTGGGAGAGAGTCGAGGAGTTGATGGCTGACTTCCTCTACGCTGAGTCTTCATGTTACCAGAAGGGTCACCACCAAAACCAGAGAGTGGGTTAACTGGTTCAAAAGGAGTCCAGATAGTTTGGGAGGATGTTGGTAAAGAGTCAAAGGCAGGAGAATCAACTGCAAGATCTTCTGAGCCCACAGATGGTAGTGTTTCTCCAAACCAAAAGTTTCCTGTGCTGAATGGGCTTGTTGGACTGAAGTCGGCTAACCTATTGCTTCCAAAGTAAGAATCAGTAGAACCACTTCCCAAAGAACTGGAACTATCATTTCGATAATTGGATATCATTCTGGTGCGGCTAGGAGGAATTGGATTTGAAGAAAGCCATGCTGAGCTAAGGGTGCCCCCTTCAAAGCTCACATCTGTACCATTGTAATGGAAATCATTTTCTTCATTTAGCTCAATGTAGTTTCCAGTACGCATGGCAATATGCATTTCTATTTCTTCACGTGCTCGGTCTACATTTTCAGGCATACCTGTCACCTCAAAGACAGGCTCCTTATCTCTGCTTGGAGTAACTATGTATGTGTGGGTCTGCTGCTGAATCCTTTTAATTGTTGCTCCTTTGGGTCCAACCACCAGTCCTACAACACGGTAAGGTACCCTGACTTGGACTGTGGTCTGACCTGGCAAGTTAGGTGTGCATGGCAACCCCCCCAATGCAGGACCATTTTTATTACGAGATGCTCGAATCATGGAGAAGTGCTCAGCAGCTGAGAGAATTTCCCTTTTGGCCATGGCTACATCTTCTTTCCGTCCAGTGACAACAAAAATAGGTTCTTCACCACGAACAGGTGTTTTGATATATGTATTTGTCTTGGCCCTTAGTGCTTTAATTTTACAACCTGTCAGAGAAAGAAAAAAAATAGCCTTTAGTGGGAGGGGGAGGGGATCCAATAATCAACACTTTTTTTTTATGTTTTATAATGCCAAATGACTTGTGGTATTGGAACCAGAGGAAATCACTGGAAAACTGTTAACACTTTCCTATTCTGAATACTAATAACTGCCAGAAATCAAGGAATCATTTAGTATCTATCACTTATTTTAACTAGATAGTTGGCAAAAACAATCAATTTTTAGTTTGTGTCCTCTGTTGTACAAGTGCATAGCCACTGAAAGAGAATATAAAATGAAATGCATTTTTCTCCACCAACTATACAAAATACAATATAAATATTGTATTTTATTCAGGATGCAACACATAGAGATTGTCACTCCAAGTAATGGAAGGTGGCCTTTATTATCAGATAGAGGGCCACTGTCATGCATAGGAAGAGATAACTGTTAAGGACTATGATCAAGCAGAAGGAGATTCTTGTGAGAACGAACAACAGCACTATAAAACTAAGGGTCCTAGAAGAGGGGCTACTTTTAGGAAAGTACCTATAGCTAAATAATAAGGTATGTGTACCATGATGAATGAACATTCTTACACTCAGCAGTTACAATTATAATAACTGAATCATGGAAACAACAGAACATGAGTGGCCCCCCCTCCCACATTGTCCAAGCTGACAATCTGGATCAACCAAGAGATTATCCTGTTGTACAGATAGCTCATGATGGCTAAAAACTCTAAAATTCCAGTAATAACTCTGACACATAAATTTATAAAATGCAGATCCAAAAACTACCTGAAAATTGTAAATGTTATAAGGAGGCAAGACACAGCCACTTGAGTACATAGTTCTTTGAAATACTCATAAGCAGAGTAATTTAAGGTCAATAATTTGTTAAAGAATCTCATGTCTTGCTCATTAAAAATTAGTTTGGCTTTATTTATTCATACAATGACAATGTTAAGACACTATAAACTCTATTACATATAGGAAAACTAGGTCAACAACTTATAATTACAGTAAGATGATTCAATTCAATAAGGATTTATTTATCCTGTGCCTAGCACAGGGGGCTACAAAGAAAAAACAAAAAACAAACAAACAAAACCAACCTACTCTGTAGTTCCCTACCTATCCATTAAAGGTCTTACAAAATCCTCCTAGGAGAAAACATGTATGTAGGTAAATAACTACAAAACACATACAGAGTAAATACAAAGTAGTTTTGTAGGCAGGAAGCCATAGAGCACTAAGAACTACAAAGATCAAGAAGGTCTGAAAGTATCTGAGTTGAGCTTTGAAGAAAGCTAGGGATTCTGGAAAATGGGAAAGAGGGACAGCTTTTGGGGAGGTGGCAATCTGTGCAAAGACAAGATGACAGCTGAATATCATGTATGGGATAAGTAGGACAATTTGGCTGGCACATAAAGTGGGGGTGAGGGGACAGAGGGACATGAGAACTGTTTGGAAAGAGAGGTTGGAGCCAAAGTATGAAGGACTTTGAATGAAAACAGAAGAGTTCGTACTTTATCCTACAGGCAATAAGTATCTATGGTAGCGGTATTTTTTTTTTTTTAAGGAAGGGGTTGAGATTTTCAGATATGCATGTAGAAGATGGAATGAAGAAAAGAGGAGTCTAAATTACTGTGTGTCCTGTCCCAATTCTTATATATCAAAACTGCTGCACAGAAAAAAAATGTGAAAACAAAAAGTTAAAGGTTACTAACGCAAGCAAAGATTGTAAAGCATGACATCAAATTTCTATTACAACACTACAGGAGCTGAAAGGCATGGTGCCATGCTTTTGTTCTGCCTCCAGCTCAAACTGGGGGTTGGGAAATGGGAGTCTATAATCAATATTAAATAACTTTCTATGTATCTGAAATAATAATATATAATAAGGACCTCATATATAACATTCATTGAATTCTAAGGTCAGAAACCTGGAACATTAGCATACAGATTCATTCAGGTCCTAATACTTAACAACAGATTCAGAGAACCAGATCATTCAAAATTTCAAAACAAAAAAGCCCACACATATCAACATAAAAGGAATGGCATTCTTGCCACTTATGCTATCTTAACTCAACAAAGAATTTCAAAAGTGATTAAGCTCACTTCTGGGATTTTTTTTGTATTATTTTTTTCCTATCAGCTGCTTCATGGAATGTTTAATGCTTAATTTCCTTCTATCTCACCTTCTTCCAAGACCAATACTTATGATGGCTAAGATAAAATGTTTGCTATATTTGATGTATGGAAAACCAATTCTCTATCTAGGGACAGCTGCCAAGCTAAGCGAACCAAATTCAATGAAAGGTTACAGGTTAAGGGAGTCACAGGAAGTCTGGAGATTATGGGTAAGAAGTTGTGTCAGAACAGTTCTCGTACTCATGGTGGGAGCTGTCATCACTGTATAAGTTTTCTTTCTACTGTAAAAAAAAAACCGAAATTACTTGATGCTAGGGAAGTGAGTGGAGTGGGGTGAGGTAGACATAGGGAAAGAAAGGGTTAGAACTACTTCCCCCTCCCTCTAGTGATGATATTGAGGCCACATGTACACCAGATAAACAGAAAACAGGTGAAGTGTCAGGGCTTAATCAACAAGTAGAAGCAGCTTTAATCAACTAGTGGATTTGCATGATGCAAAAAGACCAGGATAGAAGTGGAAAGTCAACTAGATAAGGTTATCAAGGAAAAGCAGAGAAGAAAAGAAATAGAATAAAAATGTCCCGGGAACTTCATTGTCATTTTATAACTTCTATCTGTGGATGAAGTATAGGAAAGATGAGGCAGCACTAGACCAAGTCAGATATGGCAGTCATTTCTGAAATATTAGTGCCAAAGATTTAGTCTCAGCCTTGCCTTTTAGCTTCTTTTGATACACTTTTGGAGCTTGCTGAGCTTTAGATTTGACTCTTCTGAATCCTGGGTGTTAGCAATCCCTAAAAGATGAGGAGACAGCAATAAATCCATGCATACAGTAAAGGCTGTATAAATCTTGCTTCTAAGGAAAGGATTCTTAACCCTTTTTTTTTTTAAATCAGGAAGCAGAGCAAGACACTCTTAGGGAAAGACAGCATGTGCCAGGCAAGTCATAGCACCACCACAGCCACCACTGCCACCTCCCCTCAAACCCCAAAGCAGATAGTCCAGGCCCCTGAACCCAAGTACCTTTGGAATAGCAATGGTTCCAGCCCATTCGCTGCATTTATCATGCTGGGAAACAGCTTCTATGGAGATGCAGACTTTCACCTGCAGGTGCTATGTCTTATTTACCGTAGGCTCAGAAAAGAAGCAAGGAGGATCCCTTCCTACCTTTGCAGTCTTCTTTCACCTTATTTCCTCTGCCCTTCTCCATCACTTACTCTTCCATCCACTGTGGTTGTATTACTTGATATTCCTAGCACAAGACCCTCCAACCCTGAGCATTTTCTTTGGCTATCCCCTATGCCTGGAGCTTTTTCCTGGTTTCCCTCAAGCCTCAATTTAAACTCCCACATTATTCACTAAGCCTTTCCCAGTCTCCTTCTTAATCTTAGTGCCTCTTCCCATCTCCAATTTATCCTACATTTATCATGTTTGTGCATAGCTGTTTGCATGTTTTCATGACACTGTGAGCTCCTTAAGAGCAGGGACTTGACTGGTTGGGTTTGGGTTGGACTTTTTTTTTTTTGGCCTTTCTTTGCATCCCCCAGTGTTAATCGACATGGTGTGTGGCACAAAGTAGATACAGTGTACAGCACCATGGTAAGTCAATTTGGCTACAGCACAGTGTGAGAGGAAGTGTATGTATGTAATCAGAAAAGATAGCATGGAATCAGATTGGGAAGGGCTTTACTCTACAGATAACTGGGAGCCACATAAGCTTCTAGAGGAGAATGAAAGTGTATTAGGGATTCTTAGTGGTCAATTAAGCATCTGCTGTGTGTCAGACACTTACCCCTAGGGATACAAAGAAAGGTAAATGGTAGTTCCTGTCCTCAAGTAGGTGACAATTCAATGGAGGAGAAAAGAAGTAAACAGATATATACATAAAAAGCTATATGGAGGACAAACAGGAAATTAACACAGGTAAGGCACTAGGATTAAGTGGGATTGGGAAAGGCTTTTGGTAGAAGGTGAGATTTTAGCTGAGATTTGAAGGAAGCGGGGGAAGTTATAGCACATGTTCCTATCCTTTCCAATAGCTAAGGAAATCTTTCATTATTCCCAGAGCAAGAGGTGGAGGTCGGGGTAGGGAGAGGGAGAGATAAGCACCTTCAGGGCAGATGGCAAGATACCAGAGAGTAGGTGCCATGGATGTGATTAGCTTGATAAATTCTGGTTTCACTTCTCTCACCACTTTAACAGCTAGAGCAACAGAGAAGATTAATTTGTCTCAGGATGAGGCCTAGGAGCTGAGTGAATTAACATTCTTAGAGTTAAGGAGCATTTCTGCGAAGTCTGAAAGCCCATTGTTGCTCTTGGTAGTGAGAGCAAGCCATCAGTAGGTTTCATGCAGTCAAGTGGCTAGTTTGGGGTATTAGAATCTCATTCTCCTTAAAGGAAGTGTCCATCAAAATCCAAATTCCTTAGCGTAGGGCTAAAGACCCTCTGCAAGCTAGCTACAAACTGCCTTTTTTTTTTGTCCCTACCCCATAAAACTAAAGATCAGACAAATGGTTCATTACACTTTCCCAGGTCTGTATCTTTGGCTCATGCTGTTCTCAATATCTGTCCTTTAAAAAGGCCAGCTAAAATGGCACAGTAGAAAAAACACTAGATTGGAAGTCAGGAAATGTGAATTCCCTTGGCTTCCTTCAAGTTCCTTCTAAAATCCCACCATCTGTTCAGGAAGCCTTTCCAAATCTTCCTTAATTCCAGGCAGGAGGATTAGAGTTCAAACCACAGGTATCATACACCTCGGGCAAGTTTAACCTTTGTTCACTTTAGATTTCTCAACTGTAAAATGGGAAAACAGCACCTATCTCGATGGGGTGTTGTGAGGATCAAATAAG